GCAGCTGGAGACAGGTCTGATCTGAGCCTTTCTGCAGTGCCAGCCTGAGGCTGGAGTAACAAAAATTCAGGAAAAAAAGCCTGCCTCTCTTCTACCCTGACCTGATGGAATGACTGGAAGAGCATGGCATTGAATCCTACCCAGAGTATTTGGTTACTTTTAAGGCAATATTTCATGGAAAGCTTGACTTCTTTGTAGCAATGGCAAAACAACTTCAGGTTTGCTTAAGTTCTGGTGTAGATTCCAGACTTGTTCTTATAAATATTAGTACCAATTAATATTTATTATTGTATATTGTTGTTTAGGAAGGGGGAGGAAATCACCAAGTGGGGGCCTGGAACAAAATTTTGCAGTATGGAGTGTTCGTGTTCAGCCTGTTAGTGCTGCCATTTCCCATGATACTCTGTTCCATCCGTGTGCCTTTTATTCCCTCCTACCGCTCAGCAGACACTCAACATTCTGTTGGTTTGTTCTGGTGTTTAAAAAATCCCCATAGGTTATTTTTCTGTATTTCTTCATACCTAAGGGTTCCGCTGAACCAGCTGATACTACTCTCCTGTGTGTGGATGATGCAATTTTAGTTATGGCCCTGTTCACACATCACACTGCCCCATTAGTTATAAATCATTATTAAGTTAACCATAGCTAAAATTGATTGTTCAAATGCAGGCTTAACACAGCTTAACTATGGTTTACTAACTATAGTTAATGGGAGCTCATTGATCAAGATTTGTGGCTGGTTTATATTAACCGTAGCTTAGCATGATGCCCAAACTCCTTAGCTATGGTTAAGAGACAGGAGGCACTTAAAAAGTCAATGAGCTGCCAATATAAAGCGGCTGTAAAGCCAAGCCATCCATGCTCTGGTCTCAGTGGCTCTTGCTAGTGACTTTTACTCTGCCTAGCAACAGCTGTTCTTCCTGCCCTGCCCCACCTATAGGGAACAATTTATACAAGTGCTTCACTGTGCTGCAAGCCAAGGGAACCTCGTAGCTTGCTCTCAGCTACTGACCACTGTAGCATTCTTTTTGCTTTTCAGCAAGGCATAATAGAGAATATGAAAATGCCACAAGGAATGGCACAACTTTTAAATGGGAGTGGGGAAGTTTCCATCTTTTGTATATGCTGGTAAACTCAGAAGAACAGAAGGAGGGAGTTGATTCTGTTTGTTACTGGGAGGAGGGAGGGCGACAGGGACTGCCACAAGAGAAGACATGACTCATACAGCTGACCAGTACCAAATGGGCTGCTGCTGATACAGTGAGGCACTGCTATGGAAAGGGTGTTTGAGATAGCTGGTGTTTGAGATAGCTGGCTGGAGTTGTGGAGAAGGTGTTTATGATACTACCTCAGATAAATTCAGCTGTGATATAGTGAGTCATGGTTACTAACATCTTCAAGTTACCTTCCGATTATATAGGACATTGTTGTATATATCAGTGATGGATTCACCTTCTGGGAGTCAATTTACTATAGATATATGGAATTCTATATCTACAATGTTGCAGATTGTGGAAACACAGTAAAGAAAAGAATGAACTTTGATACTGTTGCCTGTACTTTGTCTGAGTGACTGACATCACTTGAACCCATCCCTGTTATCCTGTTATCTGACAAAGGATATCTGTCACCCTGCTTTTCTCAGTACAAAACAAATGCATGTGTTTTAGCTAGAAGCCAGATCTTGAAAAACGCTTGTGTTTTGTGTATGCTTCTCATATCTGATGGATTCCATAAGGTGAAACAGGTCAAAATGTGAATGTAAATTATAGTTGGTCTGCAGGATCATAACTTCTGAATTCCATTCTCCTTGTCTGAAATAGTGGATATTTCACAAGGACCACTTACAGTTTTTGTATAGTTAGTACCTGAACAATATTAATGCAATCCACAGACATACTACTATTTCCTCTAGCCATGACAAACTTTCTAATGACTCTAATTGCCAAATGACTCATAGGATGTACAGCAGCCTTCCAAACTGGTGGACAAGAGCTGTAGTGCAGTTCTTTAAAGGTAATGGTAAAGGGTCCAGTCGTGGATGACTCTGGGGTTGCGGCGCTCATCTCGCTTTATTGGCTGAGGGAGCCAGCGTACAGCTTCCAGGTCATGTGGCCAGTATGACTAAGCCGCTTCTGGCGAACCAGAGCAGCGCACAGAAACGCCATTTACCTTCCCGCCGGAGTGGTACCTATTTGTCTACTTGCACTTTGACGTGCTTTCGAACTGCTACGTTGCAGGGGAAACTCAGGTAGTGCTTTCATTTCAAGGAAACAGGGTGCCTTTCCATTGGGCAGTTAGTGCTACAGCATCATCTAGGAACTACCTTCTGGAGAGCACAGACCAAAGTAGCATTGTTTTAATCCTTGTCAACCAGTGTAGACTGAAGCCAGGTCTGAACTATAAGATCTATATTTGTTGAAATAGCACAATGGATCCCTAAAATTAGGGCTCTCTGGATGTGCCCTTGAATGACAAGTTCAGTGTTTATGTCATATATGCAAAGTAACTTCACAGTGTGTGTGTGTGTGTGTGTGTGTATTTGCTCAGAAGTAAGTCCCACTGAGTAAAATGGAATTTACTCTCAGGTAAGTGAATACAGGATTGCAGCCTTGATTTTACTGTATACTGGGGTGGATGTTGAACCACTTTCAGAAAAGAAGTTCAGCAGGTCAGTATCAAAGAAAGCAGCATTAGGAACCCAAGCTTGTGTTTTCAAACTCAGTTTGCCACAGTGATCACAACGCTGGTACTCTGTTTGATTGCTATAAAGATGCCCCAAAGACTAATTACTATACCAGTTTGTAGTCCATGCACTATGAACAATTCAAGGTTCAGAGAATCTGTCATAAAACCATCCCATTCCCACTGCAAAGGATTTGTTGTGTAGCAGCACTGTCATAATTCTGCAGAATTATTGGCTAACTAATTTGTACTAAAGGCATTTGGCTCCTTTCCCCAGCTACTATAGCTCAAAACTATGTGCCACATTTGATTAATGTCAACAGAATAAATATTGCCAGTTTAATAACATTTTCCCCACTCCCAATTTGTGTGGTGATTTATATTTGTCAATAAAAGTTGCACGATGTTGACAATGAGCTTTTAGATTTAATCAGGCTCTTCATCTTTAAAGCCATGAGAGTTTGTGTTTTATGCACAGAGATTATGTGTTTTATCATCCTTTCGAATTCACTAGGTCAGAAACTTTGCAGGAAACTGTGACAGAAAACTGGCTGTCTGGAAAGATTTGAATGATTCTGAAGCTAGGATGCTTAGGAGAAGGGAACAGAGAAGTGTGATCATAAAGAATGCATGCGCATGAAAATGCAGTCCATGCAGATTGGAACTCCATGAGAACCATGCTGCATGATCCTTAAATTTGTAGGAAGCAGAGCACGGTGAAGTATAATTCAATTAAATAATGCATATATACATACATACATTTTAATGTGAATTCAGCATATGCCACCAGTATATATCAATTATATTAAGGCAACAATACTATGATCAATCTAATTGAACACAATAGGACTTAATTACAAATAAGCAATCATAAGAACAGGCTCACACAAGTATTGGTCATGCTTGAGAAATTTCTATTTATTTCTACATACACAGGACCAAACAGGATCAAATGGCATGTTTTAGAGTACATGTGGATAACCTGTGGCCTGTGGGATACATACAGCTCTTGTAGGTATTCCATACTGCCTGCTCTAAGTCACTTCCTTCCACCACTGGACTTCGCATGTAATTTGTGGGTTCCCAAGCCTATTAAGTAGCTGTTTGGTTGGATGTACGGTAGATAATGCAGTTGTGATGAGCATAGCTGTGGGAAGGGGAAAATCAATTGTCTCTCTCTCTCTCTGTGTGTGTGTGTGTGTGTGTGTGTGTGTGTGTGTGTGTGTAAGAGAGAGAGAGAGAGAGAGAGAGAGAGAGAGAGAGAGAGAGGCCTTATCTGCCCAATGCCCAGGCTCATGTCCATACCCAGTTCTATTTGCACCTACTGGCATGCCTGTGGCCATTGGGGACAAAACATTGCCAACTCCTGTTGTCTTGTTCTTCCATGTGTTAACCTATTCAGATTAGTCAGATGAATAGAGCTCCTGAGTTTCATGAGCAGATGATGTTGATTCAGCTCTCTAGAGTTATAAATAATGGGAATGTTATAATATTCTTTGGTGTCAGTTTCTGAGTTTAATGAATTAAAGTTCAGCGTTTTCTTTAAAATGCTGAAAACCCTGAAAATGACAGTGCATTGGATAATCTATAAAATTGATAATTGTTTCTAGACAGCTGAAGAATGAGGCAGCCTGTCACCAGCTGCTTTAGCAAACAGGCAGGCAAACAGAACCGTGCAAATATTTGATTGCTTACAGAGAAGTAGATACAAGAAAGATGACTGAAATAGATGTTTGAGGTGTAGCGTATGGATGTTTGACAGGATGCTCATTTTACTCTTCTTGTCTTTTCGTTGCAGAAGACGATGTGTCAAATGTACAAATAATGTGTGCCTGGTGCCAGAAAGTGGGAATCAAGCGTTATTCTCTGAGTATGGGAAGTGAAGTGAAATGTTTCTGCAGCGAGAAGTGCTTTGCAGCTTGTCGAAGAGCATACTTCAAGAGGAACAAGGTAAGAGTATAAGGAGTGCAATATACAGAGAAACTGTTTCTACGCAATATCTCAGGTGACATTTTAATTTTAGAAATCCTAGTGACTTCCCATCCCCCCCCTTACCCATGCACCTCTTCTGCTGAACTATCAAGACTTTTGTTAATATATACCCTATTTAATCAGTTTTTATCAGCTGGTTGTACTTGCATTCTGTCAAGTCAGGTGTCTGTAAAGACAGGCAAGGATACTGTGCCATAAAAATAAGAGCCAAAAGTATTCTAATTGCAGTTACGATTTTGTAAGGATTATTGCTGAAAGGAATCTTAAAACCTATGCAGGAAAGCAGCAGGAATACAAATCTCATTTAGCATTTTGCTACCTACCTAGATAACATTAGCGAAGCGTTTATCACTTGCTACAGCTGACAGCAGGATTAGAACTGTGATTAAAAGCTTGATCCAAAGTCCTTTGTAGGTGACTTGAATTCTTTCCATTGACTCCAGTGGATCCTCTGTTGCTCTCTCATTCTCTCTTTCTAATTAATTTGGGTTAAGCATTGCAGACATTTCTGTTTTTTATTTTAGTGTTGGCAGTACCTAAAAAAACATAGATAGTGTAAGTGATAATTTCAAAAGAAATTAGATAATAAGATTAACATGATTTGTGAAGAAATTTGGTTGAAAATTGATTTGGTTTACACACAGTTAGAAGCTAAGAAGATGCATCTGAAATAATATATATGTGCAGCTCCTTCAGATGACATTTTCAGTTTTAGTTAATGATGCTGTGCTCTTTTTTTGGCAGAGCACATAATGGATATTTGAGGCACCACTAATTTTATTTTTTAACAATTAGGGTTGTAACAAGATTTCACTATGCAGAATTTTTATAGAAAATGTGATTTTTATAGAAAACATGATAAGGATTTTTATATATATTTGAATACTTACCATATTTCTAGGGCAAGGTTGCTTAGAACTTTACAGAGAGTTGATGGCTGTTGGTGGATGTGGGAAAAGCAAATGTGATATCCAACTAAGACAAGTCATACTCAGAGTAAATCCAATATATTTAAGTAGCTTAAGTCCATTAATTTCACTGGTTCTTCTCTAAGTATGACTATCTTTGGCTATCACCAAAAATTCACAAAAGTTGGAACATGCCCGGCTACAGGTTTGCAGCTGAGCTGGACCAGAAAAGGATGTGAAAAGAACAAAGAGAAGAGAAGAAGGGGGAGGAGAGTATTAGATAGCAAAGCCTTAAGTAAGTAAGCAAGCAGATAAACCTTCCAGGAAACTGGAAATGTCTGTTCATCGCTGCATACAGGTATCAAGCCACAGTACCACATGAACATCAGTTTGTGAACATGCTCCTGGACCCAAAAGATCCACCTTTGTGGATTCCTCCACACTGTATCTTTGGCAAGCTAATGTAATCCAAATACAAAGGAGGTTAAATTGCCTGTGGTAACATTTTTCCCCACTTACTCATTATAAGTTTATAAATATAAAATACTGAGTTTTGTTTTTGTGTTTGTGAATCTTCTGGAGTGAAGGTATAGAAATAAGCAAATTTATATAGGGAATATCAGAAGAGGACTGCTTTGAAATGGCTGTTGTCATTTGGTTTGTTTTCAGTTTCTTTTGAAGGGTTTAGTATTTCCAGGGGTCCTTTTGATTGTGGGGGGGGGCATTTTCATGAAGTTAACATATTGGCACAGAACATTTTAAAGCTAGGTGCCACTTAGTCATCAGGGACTGGGATTATGCCACAGTGCCTATCAGATGCTTGATATGATCAGTTTTAAGGGAGTAAGAGTGCTTTATGCCAGATGATGAAACGCAGTCAGGACTGGGGTTCAGACTTTAGTGGGCCCTTGGCATGGTACCCCATTGGACAGCTCCACCTGGACCCCCACCTTCTGCTGTTGTGTGCTACCTCCGTGCTCTACCATTGCCAATCACTTACATCAGCCAAGATTGCACGTTTCCTACTGCAGTATGTTGCTTTCACTCTGCTCCAGTCGGAGGCAACCATTGGTCATTTTAGATTACCCAAAATGCAATAGTCAACCTGATGTTGATGTTTGGGTAATCTAACATGGTGATTTGTCTGCTGCAGAACAGAGGTAAGCACTCAAAAGTGCTGCAAGGCTCCCCCAATAACAAACCAGGGAACGGGGCAGAATTTGAGCTGAGTGATTATTAGTGGCCACAATAAAGAGAGCGATATGGACCACTATCTTTTAATCCACAGGAAGGTTTATACTGGAGAAGGCGTTCTCCCATAGGCATTTTGAGGGTGGGAACTTTCAATGAGGGATAGGAACCTGTGGCTCTCCAGTTGTTAGACTACAACTCCCATAATTCCTGAACATTGGTCATTCTGGCTGTGGCTGGTGGAAGTCAGTAAACATCTGGGAAACCACAGGTTTCCCATCCTTGCTTTAGATTCAGAGATTATCTATTTCCACAAATGCTGGTATTCTTCTACCAGCACCATATTTTCACAGGAGTTTCCCCATAATAGTCATCATAGTAACACCCTCTATTTGGACAACTGTGTTGCATAAATAGCCTCTCAGTCTGTGTAAACAGATAACTTCTAATACCTATAAATGCATGCTTCTATATTTGGTGGGAAGAGTTCTTTCTTTCTGTTGTATTTTTGTATTTTGGACCTACTAGTGGTTAATATGGTCCCCATATGTTTTGTGCTGCTTTAAAATGTGGATTTTTATTATGATTTTTGTGTATATTTCTGATGTTTTTATTGTGATGTAAACTACTCAGAGATTTCTTTGAAGTATGGAATGGTATATAAATTACCTAAATAAAAAATGAAATAAAATAACTAAAGATGAAGAATTGTACAGAAAACTTATGTAGGTCTCCAGCAACCAAGCTGAGCCTTTGGTTTCAAGATGGCCACTAGGACATAAAGTGATCTGCAAGTTATCATACAGTATGTCTTTAGACAATGCCAGTTCAACTTGAAAAAGCTGCAGCTTTAGTTTACCTTGTGCCTACTAAATCCTTTTTATAATCTTTTGAACAAAAAAAGAGGTGCCGGTACTGCGTGCCCTTGAGTACCCCCTGGTGGGGAGCACTGGTCCTATTGAAGCCAAACTACTTCAGGACTATTTAGCAGTTATTGGTGTCAAGATTTTAACTAATACCTCTTCAGGTTTTTAATCAAATAGGAATGCCATTTCTCCATTAGTTGCATTTCTTTGGTATATCTATACATGTGAACAAGAGTAGACTATAATGCTCAGACATTTTCCCTTCTGCTCCTCATTTCAGGAAGGTGTGATAAAGCTTTACTAGCCCCTTGTAGTTTTTATAGCATGTGCTAAAGCAGCACATTGAAAAAGAATATAGTATAAGATCAAATTTGCAAGGCTGCAAAAGTTTCACATTTACCAGTGACCTTTGAACTGTTATTGCCAGACTTGTTGTGTACCTGTCTTCCCCATTAGTCTAATGTTTATTTATGTATTTGAGGTTATGCCACTCTACACCTTCTCATTTTCAAACAGAGAAGTAATATGGTCACGTTTCACCTGCCTTATGCATGTTTTAAACAGCACATCTCTGCAACAATATAGTGTTATGTTACAATAAATATGTACAGCTGCTGCATTTCTGCTAACTGATAGGTCTTTGTGGTCATTTCATTTATGGCTTGGATTTCCTAATGGATTGTACTAGGCAGACTTCCCTTTCCTACCCTGACTAAGAACTGCAGCAATAAGCACTTAGCCTAGTCTGGGGGGGGGGGAATAGTAAAGAAGGGATACTCATTAGCGGTTCAAAAATAAAAAAGCAGAAATGATATATCTATTATTACCAGGTGTTATGTGACCCATTAGGATGTAATCTACATTTACATTTTAAAAACTCACTGCAGGGTATGTGCCATACATAAAAAACACTTTCTTACGAATATTAATTTGAGTCAGATTATTTATGGCAGCCACCTGGAAATTGTTCTAAAGCATGTCATCCAATATCACAAGCACACATGCTGCAAACTAATAGAGCCACATGCGCATGCAAGAAACAAAGAATAGAACACAGCCCAATCCAAGTATAGTGGTACCTCGGGTTAAGTACTTAATTCGTTCTGGAGGTCCGTTCATAACCTGAAGCACCACTTTAGCTAATGAGGCCTCCTGCTGTCGCCGTGCCGCTGGAGCACGGTTCTGTTCTCATTCTGAAGCAAAGTTCTTAACCCGAGGTACTATTTCTTGGTTAGCGGAGTCTGTAACCTGAAGCGTTAGTAACCTGAAGCGTATGTAACCAGAGGTACCACTGTAAAGGGTTTTGAAGCCCTATTCATTTCCATGGGAGAGCCGGTGTATGCCCTCTCTCATAGAAATCAATGGGACTTCACATTTACCACATTTAAGCAGTTCTAATCTTTATACAGGGGGACGTGGGTGGCGCTGTGGGTAAATCCTCAGCGCCTAGGGCTTGCCGATCGCATGGTCGGCGGTTCAAATCCCCGCGGCGGGGTGAGCTCCCGTCATTCGGTCCCAGCTCCTGCCCACCTAGCAGTTCAAAAGCACCCCTAAGTGCAAGTAGATAAATAGGTACCGCTTTGTAGCGGGAAGGTAAACAGCGTTTCCGTGTGCTGCGCTGGTGCCGGCTCGCCAGAGCAGCTTCGTCACGCTGGCCACGTGACCCGGAAGTGTCTCCGGACAGCGCTGGCCCCCGGCCTCTTAAGTGAGATGGGCGCACAACCCTAGAGTCGGACACGACTGGCCCGTACGGGCAGGGGTACCTTTACCTTTACCTTTAATCTTTATACAGTACACAAATGACAGATACTAGGTAATCACAAAAGTGGCTTACATAAGAATATAAGTATTTGGTTTATTTACACTATCCATGCTCAATTATCCTATCTTAAATAAGCCAAAATATAAATGAGCCTTTGGGCTCAAACCAGCAAGTATTCCATTAACTATAGTTTCTCATTTTATTTGACCTGAGGTTAAAGGCCTTTGAAAAACTAGGGCTGTATTGAGTTGCTAGTCCTACTCAGAGTAGATCCATTGAAATCCATTGAAATTAATGAACTGGTTCAGCACTGCTGCTCTTCCACTTCCTCAAGCAGAACAAATCCCTGCAGGTTGTAGTATCTAGTGGCTCTCAGCTAGTCTTTCCCAGAGTTGTTTGTGGCAGGAGGAGTATTCACAATTGAGTTCTGCTGCCTGAAGGTGTTCTGTGTATGTTCAGGAAGAAGCATCCAACACTCTTCATTCTTGCCCAAGGGAAAAGCCGGCCAGGATAAGGGAGCACACAGTGTTAGGCACTACTACCTGAATAAAAGGCCAGCTGAGGAAGGGTTAAATTGCCATTTTGGCTCTGTTTGAATGAGCATTCTGGCCAGTAAAGGTTTTATATTTGTATTACACTCACTCTTGAAGAAAATCAATGTGAACTTCATGTGTGTAAAAAGTGTCTTAAAAGAGCATTGCTCAGAGCTCTCAAAATCTTGTAGAATGACTACTTTCAGGCAACCAGAGCATAGTAGAATCTGAATTTTTTTTTTTACATCTTTAAAATGACAAGTGACATTTCCATTG